TCGTGCACCAACACAACCCGCCCTCGCGCTCGGTTTCCTCCGCGTGTGTGATCTGGGTATTGTTCGCCCAACAGGCGGACTCGTACACCGTTCCGTCGCGTCGGGACCCCTCCGCCCGCCAGGACGAGACAAAGACATACAAGCTTGCGGAGAGCACCGACGACACGACCATCGACGTTTGCAACGAGGAGGGAGAGATCGTCGACACCATGCAAGGGAAGAGGATCCGCTTCTGATCCGAACGACTGCTTGCAAGAGGAACACCGCTGTGCCCCAAAATATGCTGCGAGTTTAGCTACTGCTTCCCAAGCGGCTGCTGAACGAGCGTGCAGAGGACATGATGCATCTTGTGCGGTGTTCAGGATTGTTTAGAATATATAGCTACAAACTAGCGTGTTTGCTCACAAGCTATAACATGTACCGTCGCCTGTTTTCCCATTTCGCTTTAGTACTCTTTTGTTTTTAGCTTCGGCACACTCAGATTCATGCAATTTTTTAGCCCAACACTTGGGAATGTACCATGCTGTTTACTGTTCCAGAGGTGTCGGGCCGTTTTCGCGTCCGTCGGTTGCTGGCCCTTTCTGCGGACCCGAAAGATCAGCCACTCGTCGATAGCGTTTCTACCTACTGCTGTGGAAGTCTCGCCCAATGATTTTGCTGTTTAGCTACCCTCAGACGTGCATGCTTTTGATGCGCGAACCAGTGCCGTCTCCTACTCGTAGATGTTGCACCTTAGTCCATCCTTTGTTTGATTGACAGGTGTTGTGTGTGAATTTGTTTGGCTTTTTACACGGGTTGCTGTCGTTCGTGAGGAACATAGCCGTGGTCCCCATCCCGTACGTAAGCAAGGTGCCCGTCACCATATCGTTGTGCATTGAATTATGTTTTTTTGTTTACGGTTTGGTCCCAGTGGATGAACCGGCAGAATTGGCGGTGCGTTTTCCGGAGCACACTAGCACTCGTAAGGGGAGGATTTACTCTTGGTATATTTTCGTGGCTATTGCCTCACGTTTGTTTTCGAAACGCACGCTGATGATTGTGTTAAGTGCTGCGATAGGATTGGGAAATAACAGCGCAAAGGTTGTCAACTTACCTGTTAATAATACGTGAGTCGGGGATCTTGGCTGGGAAGAGTTGAAGCTCGTGCAGGACACCTTGTTTGTTCCAAAGTCGTCGTTTTTGAGTACCAAGAAAGGTGCAATGACTCAAAACTTCGTGTTGGCTCTTTCACGGCGTGGTTGATAATTTGTATTCTTTCGAGGAACCGCCTAAGGTTTCTCCCTTCAATCCGAAACCCTTTAAAACACTGAACACTGAACTCCAGGAGAGGAGTTGATTATCACACCCACCCGTGTAGTGCAAGACTGGGGCAGGAACCGAAACCTCCGGAATGTGTCACATCGACGCACGCCTGGCTAGGGGCTCTCGGACATCGGGGCTTTGCCCTGGGGTATGTGCGTTTTGTTTGCGCCCAAACAAACCCTGGCGGGTATCGGAAACACAACAATACTCAGCAGATCGCATAGAAAGGAAACACATCCCTCGGACCATGTGGCAGCACCCACTCGCCGACTGGATGAAATCGACGGGGCAGTGATATATGTAGACTGGGCCACTCTGTGCAGGGTGTCGTACCGCTCAGAAGGAAATCATCTCTTGAAGATGAGTGAATCTGGTCTCACGCCAGGCCACTAGGTATTGCCCACGCGTAAGTCGCGTGCTTTGTAAATGTACAGCATGTCCACTATGCTAGAAGGCAGCGCTGACTTGAGGTTAGTGGATATGCTGTACATCTAACAAGAGAACAACGCGGTTGGATCCCTCTAGACTATGGGACCATTTTTGTGATGCCATTTTTTCGGGAAGGAATAATGTCTGGGAACACGCCTGGAAGGATTCACTCCATCCATTCGTCCAAGGGATACAGAATATTCCCGCCTGCAAGAAGAACGTAGTCAACCTGCAGCGAATGCGCAATAATTGCTACCAAACCAGCTGACAAAAATCCAACCTGTATATTCCTCGAACTGTAAGCTTCATTCGGTCTCCGATGGAAACAATATTTGTCGCAGATGCTGATATTCCGATACCCCCACCCTTGCCCGGCCATGCAAAAAATAGGCGATCTTGACCGACGTATTATCGCACGCGTGTTGCGACATCTATCTCGACTTTGTCTCGGTGGGGCACCGCAAATCATGGTCCCTCACAAGTTACATCAACTTCCGCGCGCTGTATGCATGGCACACTCCACATATTTTATTTTTTTTTGGTCTTCACTTCAAATCAGCGCTCACAGCACTATTTAGTGCCGTTTGCTCCAACCCGTGGTCACACAGAAGAGCCCCTCTCTACCCTCCCCTCCTGCGGTACTTTGCCTTAAATTTTTAATGCGAGAAGAGTTTGACACTCTCTTCCCTCTGTGTACACGCGAACTAGCGTTATCCACTAAATAGGCCAGAAGCGGAAGCGAGAGAAAAACTCCCTTTGCAAGAAAAGCTCGCTTACGCCGGGATTCGAACCCCTGACCTGACCTCTAGAAGGTTTCGAGGATACCAACTAGACCACCGGGGCGACCGGCACAATACAAGTGGACGGCCAAGCACGACCATGTGCGCTGTTTCTCCCTCATCTTCACCAGTTCACCGTGTAGTGTGCGCCGTCTTGATCGCTCTATTTGGCTTCTCGAACAATATATTTTGAAACAGTACGAATCTCAGAGTTCACTTGGCAGCCACCGACGACGGCACATGATACTCTCAGATGTGGTTTATGTAGCAATGAAAATATTTGGGTGAGGGCCGAGTGAGTGAGTAACTGCAGTGCCAACAAGTTATGATGATAGGAGAGTCGAAAGAAAGCGCTATTCGGTGCGCCAATGCGCTGCGTTCTAGATGAACTTGAGGTAGGTAGAACGTGTGCGGCATGTGTGGCCATGCGCGCTGTGTCTCTCCTCTTCACCGTCTCAGTCGCCGTCTTCCTGTTTAGATCGTCCGTTTGTTCTGACGTTATGGATCGCTCATTGTTCCTCTTCTTCTCGAATAAATATGTGTTGAACCTATCGATGGATAGTAGATGATTCATTCACAGATGGATTCAGTGTCTACAATAAGAGAATTAATTGAGAAATAGTATCAAATAAATGTGCATCAATCATCATCACGCTAGTAAATACAAACTACATACATATAGACGTTCTTTCGATAACATTTCCTTTCCTGCACAAGATAACAAGTCTCAAGTGTACTTTTTTGCGGTATACTTTTTCAGGGTGGCCGCGGGCAGAAGATATTGTGACTGACTGACTGAGGAGCGATCGGGACGACTGGAAATAATACGTGACTACAACAACGAACGGTTGACCGGCGAATGTTCTAGCACCACACCCGTGTTCTCACCGCACGCCTGTGGATTTCTTTGTATTTTTGTTTCCATCCGCCGTCGGGTCGTGATCTGCCAACCCTGTAAACTCAGCCAGCGGCAAACTAAAGAAATCCGCAGATCAAAATCAGCTTCAGACAGGCAGGCAACACGGACAATACTTTCTGCTCGCGTTGATACGTCTACAACATTAAATATCTCCGGCTACCGACGCGTGCCGCCGCAGAACACCCAATTTCACAAACAAACAAGAGCAGATCGATTCACGTAATAACCTGGAACCTCGAAACCGCTGATAAAAATAAACTACATAGAGAGCAGAGAGTCGCGTGTGCTAAAGGGGTGTATCTCGTGGCCGCCTGTGTTTTCTCATCCCACGTTTCTCGTCATAAAGAATGTAGGAATTATGTAGTTCCGTGTTCTCGTTGGTCAGCCAGTGTACGCCGGTAAAAATGCAAAGACACACGCACTAAGTTGCATCGGTCCGCTTCTTCCAGCACGTTGTTCCCTTTTGCGCGCATGGTTCCATGGTTCCAGAACATGCACCCACCAAACACACAGTACCTGGTTTTTATTATATTTCCAAGAGACGGCCAAACTATGCATGCTGGTGAGCACAAGAGTGAAAGTGGGAAGATGAAAATGCATTGTGAACCCATACTCACTCGCTCGCATGAGCAAAGCGAAGCGAAACTTGGAATCTTGAATCGCTTCACACGAAACTCTGATCATTTCGCGAGCAACATTAAAACCATAAGCACTCACCCACCACATGATAAATTGTAACGACACTTGGATAAGAAAGTGAATGAACTCCATGCTTGGATATGAATGCCCAAACGATTTCGGCAACACAACACCCGATATAGATTCATGCAACGCCTTACTCTTCCCGGCCAGTATCCTCGGTTCAACAAACAAACACCGGCTTTTTCAACTCCAAACAGCAAAAACAACAGCACACGTATCGAACAATTAAGTTGACGGAAGTTTGCGCTGCTCGACGACAACATCACTTTCCGCGCAATATATTAAGTCAACTCACATTCATTCTCGTCCGATCCTTGTACAACACTTCGATCGTCAGAGTGAATTTCGAATCCAAATGAGAAGAGACCGGCAATAATCAAGATAGTTCGACCTCTCCTGGGAGCGGCATTGTGCTTCCCGGAACGGCACAGCCATTTCTGCCGGTTCATCGACTCGGGACACAATCGCAGAATCCACCTTACAACGCACACCGACAACTTGAGTGCGTGCGGCACGTAGGTGTCGGATATTTTGCTCACGAGCAACTGCAGCCCGTGCAAAAATAAAAACTCATACAATTTGTATTCACAAACCTCTCCCGTCATTTCCCAAAGGATCAACAAGGTACACCACTTTCAAATAGGAGGGGATGGCACTGGTTCAGAAGCATAGTCTACACTGGAGAGATTACCTCGCAGAAAAGTTGCAAGCAACACAAGTTGAGCGAGACTCAAGTAGGTGGTAAATACGATATCGACGAGTAGCTGAACGAAGGCCTGAAACCCTCGAAAAGTAAACAGTACGGCACATCACCTCAGTGTTGGGCAACTTTCTAAACAATGGCGTGCATATAGGGTGTACGTATGCCGCAGCTAAAAAAAAAACGGAAAATAAAAACCACATGGGACAGCAAGCGATGATGCGTGTGGCTTCTTGCCAGAAAACTACTGTATGCTAACGGCCCCCGACATAGCGTGCGAGGAGCATCATGTTCTCTGGACGCTCATGAACGACGATATCACTAGCGGCATTAGCAGCGAAATTGCAGCACATCGGGGAGCGTAGTGTGCTTCCTCTTGCAAGCAGTCGTTCGGATCAGAAGCGGATCCGCTTCCCTTGCATGGTGTCGACGATCTCTCCCTCCTCGTTGCAAACGTCGATGGTCGTGTCGTCGGTGCTCTCCGCAAGCTTGTATGTCTTGGTCTCGCCCTGGCGGGCGGAGGGGTCCCGACGGGACGGAACGGTGTACGAGTCCGCCTGTTGCGCGAACAAAACCAGGTCACACACGCGGAGGAAACCGAGGGCGAGGGCGGGTTGTTGTGCTCGTGAACATGATGTGATCAGTGTGGAACGGTTCTAATTCTTCACGCTAGCCCATAGTCCCAGGACAAACAGCAATCCGGCTACAAACCCATACGAAGCACGCACAACGTCAACCAACGAGTGAGTAGAAATGACGGGGTCATAAACCAGCTCTGGGGCGCCCAGAGAGGCCTATCGCGAGTAGTTCTGCCCGAGTTGTCTCTCTCTCTCATCGGACCCGTGGCGCGTCAAGCGACAGGTAGGTAAATGATTGCTGCACACCGCTCACTTCCGGCCGAATGACTCGACCTACTCTACTTTCGAATGATTTGCGATGCACATGACCAAGTTTTGTCGAGCCTGTGACCACGGAAGTTGGTGTATTGTCGATTAAAACACGACATGGATAGGGAGTATCTAGACCCCACCAATTGGAGCGGTTGCCCGGTGCTCAATAGTGAACGGGTAGGAGCGGCGTGGGAGACAGCCGAAGGAAGGGAGATGAGCTCCATGTGGAAGAGGCCTGAATTATCTTACCTTGGCCGGTTGGACGACGTAGCCTCGGTCCGCCAGAGATGCGCACGTCAGCTTCGAAAGCGGCATCTGGCCCTGCCGGATCCAAGAAGACGGTGCGTGTGGAAACAATCGACAGAAACAGGTCAACGTCACGTTCGTTTCACACGACTGGTGGTGCTCTCTTGTTCTGTGCGTGAATGTCCCTCCGTTCATCTCGTGCTCAAGACCGAACCAATGTTATCAATCCCACCCGATTTTCCTATGAGCTCATTGCGTCCACAGGTACGTAATTGACACATCGGTTAATCGCCGGGTCGGGCGTAGCCATAAACTGCCAAGAGCTAGAAACGGTGTCATTTCCACGCACTTGCCAGGGGATGGGACACTAGCATCACGATTGGACGACGTACCGCATTGACGTAGCCAGTCATGAGTTCATCTTCGAAAGTCGATTCGCTGAAGTGTCCGCAGCTTGTACCTGAGAATCGTGAACCGTACGAAGGTCACACACGCACTCTGATAGTTAGCGAGCGTATGTTCTGCGGCTAGCTTCACAACATGCCGGCAATTGAGGAGAACAGGTTACAGGGGGAAGGCGGATACAATCGGTTCACCACGAACGATACGCCACCTCAACCCTCGGCTATATCAGAAGCAGCAGCAACCCCCTCCATACGTACGTATGTGCGAACCATGTATCATTGCAAACAAGCATCCGCAATGCACGATACCATGCAGTCCTGCATTAAGCTCACCGGTTCCGCCTTCGAGCTCGATGATGTCGGCCCGGGAACCAGCAGGGTTTCCCATGAAGTCGTTGTACACCTGGGCAGCCAGGGGGCACTTCCATTCCGCGCTGCCGGTGCTGTCACAATCGGAACACTCACCCCACAGGGTACTGGTGGTAAACGTCAAGAAACACACGGAGCGCAAAAACGGACAGCAATGCATGAGTTTCGATAAAGATGAGAAGAGCCCGCCCACAACCCGCAAGTGCTGTAGACCCCCGAGCGGCAACCTCGCAAGATATTGGCCGAATCCTTCACAACACTCGCACGAGGGTAGACATGCCAAGCACATCCTTCTGGCTCTGGTTCAACACACAATTGCGGGAACAAACGAATCACGTAATCGCGTCCCCCTGCAAGGATGTCATCTCACCCGGTGCCGATAACGTGGCCCATCTCGTGGAGGATGACACCTTCGAAGGTTCCCTGCCTCTCCATCTCAGCGATGTCGTCGATGTCGAACGTCCTGACGATGGATGCCGGGAGCACGTCAACGTTAGGTAAAGGTGTGGCGGCGACGACCGGTGTGGCGGCGACGACCATACCGTGGTAAAAACAGACGAACCGAGCCTAGCATTGGAGTCCTTGCTGCATGCAGGTGATGTAGTAAGAGCGGACAGCCAGCTGCACCTGGTGTCGATGAAGCGGATAAACATTGCCCTATCGGAGAATCGACCACATTCAACGCAGAAATCCAACTACAAACTACAACCACACTCACATCTCTCCCGAGTAGCTGATGCCACGGCAGTCACTGTAGGTGCCGCGAGGCCCGGCGAAGCCCAGGGTTCCGTAGACACCGTCGATGGGTTCAAGAGTGGAGGTGATGGTAAGCTCGCCCGCGGCACCCCCGTTGCCGTTGGTTCCGGAGCACGGGATGTGAGTCAAGACTTCCGACCACCTAATTCATCGGGTGTTTTGGGCGAACAGGAAGGGTCGGGGAAAGGTGCAGCGATAGATTCACACCGGGCGCATGAAAACACGGACATGAGCAAACACATGCTCTACAAGAACTTGTGCCAGGCGAAAGGCTGAGCTCGACGAGACTGAGTTACAATGAAGCTGACCTCCCAGCCTTACCTGTTGGCTGCGCTTTGGAAGACGCCCTTGCGTTCGTCAGTCCACGATCCGAGGAAGTTCACCGTGATGAAGAACTCAGACATGCCTGAAGACAGCAAGTAGGCGGCAAACGTTGTCAAGTTTCGGACAACAAAATGGGCATCGACGGCCGGCGCTACCGTCTATCCCGGAGGATGTCCTGGTGCACCACGTCGCGATTACATGCAGTGTGTACTCGGTGGCGTGTTCTGAACTCCCGAAACACGTTTCACACGGCCCCTCGCGTTCCTACTGAACGAAATTATTCCCCAAACCTCCACGTGTTTGTCTACAGAGTACAGACATGAGAGAATAACAGCAACAGCACGTGTTGGAGAAAATCATAATCCTCTCTTTGTTGGTCGATGTTTTGTGCCCAACGAGAGCAGATATCCCTCTCACCTGTAACGTCGGTCTCGCACATCATCCCTCCGTAGCTGCTCCCGCAGCTGCAGGTGTACCCACCGTTGGGGTCCACCTCGCACGACCCTCCGTTCATGCAAGGGTTCGGGTCGCATGCACCAACGCCAGGGCTTTCGTCTGTCACCGGGGCCGGAGTGGGCTCGGGCTCGGGCTCGGGCGCAACAGGGGCCGGAGTGGGCTCGGGCTCGGGCTCAACGGGGGCAGGGGTAGGCTCGGGCTCGGGCTTAACAGGGGCCGGAGTGGGCTCTGGCTCGGGCTTAACGGGGGCCGGAGTGGGCTCGGGCTCGGGCTTAACAGGGGCTGGAGTGGGTTCGGGCGTTACAGGAGCACGGGTCGATGGTTCCGGTTCAGGTGAAGGCGGGTCAGTCTCGGAGACGGGAGGGGAGGTGGGGAAGGACGGAGGGAGGGTGACAGGGAGCGGTTGAGCTGTTGTCGGGATAGGCTCTTCCCCAGTGGAGGGCGGCGGGGTGGTGGCTGCGGGGGCAGGGGTAGTCCCGGGCGAAGGCGTGTCCGGCGGGGCAACCTGCTGGCATTCCTCCTCCGATTGTACGGGGAGTCCAACCTCTTCCTCGATGGCAGTAGGGTCCCCGTAGTCGCCACTGCAGTTTCGAGGGGGGGAGAGGGGCGGGAGGTCATTCGTGTGTTTCCGTGCCAAAGGCAAGGTGGCTGTATTGTAGCGAAAGCGAGTCACACGCCATGGCGGGTGCATTGTAGAACACGTTGTCTACGGGCGCCCCCGAACGAAATGGAATCGAACGCGTGCGTCAGCTCACATCGGGTCGTAGTTGCAGACCAAGACTTCCACGTCGATGTACTGGTAGACGCATGAGCTGATCGCACATCCCAGCTTGGCTGTGGACGCCCAAAGCATGCGCCTAGCACGAACGTCGTAGTCGACTACGGGACCGTCGTCGACTGCAAGGTCGTCTGCGGGGAATGCCAAGTCCAGCCAGAGCAAACAAGCACAGCGCCAGACGAAAGCAGTTGGGTGAGACATGATCTTCTCAGCATAGCCGTTGTTGTGGTAGACCTCGAGGATAACCTATAAATAAACATGATCGATACATTTTGCAACAGGAATCTATCACGGCCAACCTAAAGAGGTCCGTTTTTTAGACGGAGAGGGGAAATCTGGGCGGGGGCAGGGGGGAAGTGCATGTTGATCCTAGTTCAACCAAATACGCTGAGGGAAGAGAAACAAGAGTTGGAAGACGGGATTATGCATCTCGTTGCTCGTGTTTATTCGATATTTTCGCACGCTTTCGAGCTCCGTATACATAGTTCTCGTTCGAAATGCAAGGTTGATCCGGAAATTACAAAACGGTCACAGCGGTCTGGTTGTATCAACCGCAACAACCCCTCTTTTTTTTCCATCCCGACGAAAGTCACGGCACTCACACATCGAGTCCAACACGCCGTCGTACATCATGCAGTCAGCCGCGCCGTAGCACAGGAACAGGTTTTCGCCATAACCGTGCGCTGTCACGTTGCTCTGGAACAAATAACCGCAATTTTCCTGCGAGGTGAGCTCGTCAGCGTGACCCTGTGGCGTTGGGTGGAGGAAACAACCGACAGAATCATCGCGAGGCGGGATGGGGTTCGGCGCCAGTACGATTGGGGCGAAACCTAGGTTGTGGTACACGTCGTGCGTGTGACATTTCTTGGTCCCCTAGCGGCGCGATCTAAAGAACGATTGTCAACCCCCAAAAAATCCGTTGTGTCCGTGTAGTTGCCGGCACGTGCATCGGATCTGCATGATGTCGCAACTTTCCAACACCCTGCTGTTCCCAGGACGGGGCCACCAGTATAAGCCCCATTGATCAGACATCACGCTCATATCAGCGAGGGGGCCTTGACAACAAATGGGTATGAGGAGGGGGATTACAGCGAGAAATCAGCACCGGCGTGTTCCCGCAAGATCAGCTGGCAGACGTCCGCGATCACCCTACGCGCAGGCCATGACATTCGAGCTTCGTTTCCAGGGGGGGGCGGTAGCGATGTTGGACTTACCCTTGCAGTCTCCTCCATGGTTTCGTCCCATGCCAAGGGCTCCGCGCCGTGCACGCACCTGTCGCAGTCGACACGTTTGGTGTTTCGCCGGATTCAGATTCAAGGAAGAAGGTGTTTAGTCGAGACGGTGCTGCTTCGGGAGAAGCTTTGAACACTAGAGAAAATACTGTCAGTACATGTCCAGCACGCTTCCCCACAACTCATCGAAAAAAAAAAACCGCGACTATTGCTGTCACTGGTGCTAACCTAGCCTCGTTGTGAAGGTCCAGCAAGATCTGCTTCTCGGAAGAGTCGTCGACACCCTCGTCACCAGCTGCCGGCTCAGTCTCCCCGATGTAGTAGAGATCGAACGACCAGAACCCTCCTGTGTGTTTCGGACGTACAATTGTGTTGGTGTGGGGGGGGCAGCACGCAAAGATGTGAGAATTTCATGGCGGGAGTTGAAGGTGGACGGCGTTTCACACAGAACCGGCGGGAAGACAACGTAGAAACCACCAACCTATGAACGCGCTCAAGGTATACTTAACATCTAAAAGTAGTGAAAAATATACACATCTCGTTTTCTCCGGATCGTCATGGCCGAACATTGCCTACAGTGCGGCGGCCACCGGCTTGAAAAATGAGTTGTCCGTGCGTTTGAAAAACATTGTAAGACGAGGGACTGCGACTGCCGGAAGCACTCTTCTGTAACCTGCATTTTTTACGGTAGTCCCAACCAACAGCCATTTGTGTCACCCTGGGTGCTATGTCCTACGCGTTCAGAAATAGCTACGCAGCGTCAACGGCCCTGCAAGTTTAGCGCGGAAGGGATCGGGAAGGAAAATAGGAAGCACGTCTTAAGGATCACGGCCAGTCAAACTTTCACTCACTAGGATTTGTGAAGTGTCATACCGGTTTCATGCATTCAGTGAAAGACCTGCCGTGCAACGCACCGCAAATCAGGCTGCCATCGCCTTTACAGGGGGAATCGCAAGTGCCCTTTCCATACTGCACGTGCCGTTTCTCCTCCTCTTCGGTCCCGCAGTAACATTCGCGTCCGTACTGCAGGCCCATGAAGTCGTAGCCGTTGCTGGAGCAGTGGTCGTAGCACAACTGCACGAAAAAGTAAAATCAAAGGACGGGCCCGGCGTCATCGCATCTATGATTGACGTTCAGCACGCGCCCGGTAAGTGCCCGTTGGTGTCTGTAGCAATCAAAGTGAACGACGAGTGATTCATCGAGCGTCGATCACGCATTACTCGGTAGTAGTGGAATTTCGGCTGGATGCACTCTTGTGTCCAAAGAGAAATCAACGGGCCCATTCAAACCCCGAGATGGGCACCATTCCACAGCAGTCCGAAGTGTTCATTCCAAGGAGAGAAATTCGAACCCATAACATGCTACTAATATTAGTGAACTACAACACTGCTGTACTGTAATATTAGTGAACTACAACACTGCTGTACTTTGAAATAGTACTATACATTCACCAGGATACCCACACAGTCAAACTACAAGTAGGGGAGACATGCGTCCATTCTTGCTGATGTTTTGCGAGAGGAGCGGAGATGGGTTAGGTAGAGTAATGGAGAGAGAGAGCGATGCATATCGCCGTTGGCGCAGGCAGCCAAACCTGCTATGTTCCTCTCGGTAGTTTTGGTTCATGGTTCACCACCCGCATGCTGCCAGAGTCGGAAATGTTTTCAAAATAGTATAAGAACTGGCCCTGTTGCGACGAACCACAGGCCGTATGCCTATCTATTCAGACTCATGTGTACATATGCATAGCGCGAACAACAAGGTCTGTTCTTCAGGTACGTGGTACCATGCCCCTTTAGTGGTCTCTCGCCCCCCTCTGCATTGCACTACTATTTTCCACTAACCTCCGGAGTCATTTCATTCGATCTGATCCCGTCATCCATGGCCCGGCCTTCCCCCTCCTCCCCCTGGTCTGCGTAGCAGTCAATGTACTCGTACGACGATTGGAGTTGACGCTGCTGGTACCGGCAGAGGGACAGCAAGCAGGGTGAGCGGCCTCAACGGCGATGATGGTGAATAAAGAGTCGCTGAACTGGTGTTGACGTTAAAGTTGCGTTGAATTTTGGAATTTTGGAACGGATGAATCGTGGTCGGTTTCGCCAAGTGGTGGGTTGCCTTCTTCTTCCGTACTCGCGCGCACAGAGACGCCCAACAGGACCAGGGTTGGTTAGGTGTCGGATTGATAAACAGCTCAGCACACCAGAGAAGCGATCTGGGCGCTGGCAACCGGGCTCTGTTCAGTAGGCGTTAAGTATTTAACTTACGTGGATGCCAACAACTTGCCCTTCGCGGGAAGTGGTTCGGATGGCTCCCCGACCAAGCACGACCGGGAGCAACACGGCAGCCACCACGGTAAAAAGGTGCATCTGCGCAAACAGTACAGCGGAGCATGTTTCGGCAACGGCATTGAGAGTGGGTTGATATCCCGTGGCTGGTTGCGGCTGTGCTTCAGAACCGTTCGCATTGCCTGCGGGCAAATGGGACACGCACGCTCATTTTTTTTACGTTAGACCATGTACAGTAGGGTTGAGTAGAACCGGGAGTGAGACCTTGGAGTATCGACCTGATCTGCCGAAGCGGTGTAACGCATGCAAGAAAGATCGTTCGCGTCCCGGAGGCGAACACGAAGGAAACAATGTAGTCACGTGCGGAACGCACGATTCACTTGGAACAATACCCCGGACGAAATATTTCTTTGTGGCGGTTGGTTGTGTTCCTCAAGTCAGGTATTTCACACGCAGAGGACATGAACAACAACCACAACAGAATGTACAGCAGGCGTATACAGCAGGCGTATGCGGCGTATGGCGTTTGAATATGGTCACTCCCCAGCTGCTCATCACGCTGCTTATCGCGTGCACACGTAGTTCACCGAGAGAGATGGAAGACTCACCTTTCTTTATCGCTGGCTGGGGAGCTCCCTATTGACGGTGGAGGAGGAGGATGAAGTGTGTGTGGTGGGTGGGCGCCCGGGAGGGCCGGGTACCTACCGCCCGTGAATCTTCAAATTTGCACTTTCTATTCTGTTCGAGTTTAGGGTGTGTTCGTTGGGTGTATGAGAGGGCAATTTGTCGCTCCGTTGGCACCGGACACAGAACAGTTATTGTAGTCGGTTGGCAGAGATCAAATCAAAATTCGATATCGATTGCGATGCATCGGAATCGAAAGTGGAAACTGCTGGAACACAACATGTGGTGACACACAAACCTGGGCTGAAAATGTGTTCGTTGCAATGATTCACACCATGACCATGAGTCAGAGGGCATACCACACAGCGAGCAATATAGTGCCGGATATCGGGATGATCAGGCGGGTTGGAAAATCTTGGTCTCGCACCGATACACGCTGCGAACTAGCGAGAAATGTGTGATTGAATACTATAGCAGTACTCGGGTCTGACACGGCCATTACTCTGTCTCTCTCCCAATTTACATAGTCTATAGAGCAGATCTTCCTCAAAGAACGTATGCTGTAGTACTTTGCTGGATGCCAGCTTTCTGCCGAGGTATCGCTTGCCTCGCCAAGCTGTCTGTAGGCTGTATGTAGATGAGTAACGAAATGACATCTCCGACGTTCAGGGAGTCTGGCAAAGCAGCTGGCAACCAACGTTCCTGTTCACGCTTTCGGTTTGCGATTTTCGAGATCTCGATTCTCGATCTGTGCAGTTGTGCAGTTCACATCCTTTTTACCCACCAGCCCCCCGCGTGCGCGAAGAGCCTAGGACTGGACACTGACGAAGGATCTTTAGTCTCAATTATGGCCGCTCCGAGTCCCAGAAGACAGCCAGGAGGAACAAATACGGTATGTAGTGCGGAGACTCTTTGTGGGGTAGGTCTGTCGCTCCGAGGACAACCAAGGGATCTTTAAAATTTGGCCGTTCGCTGAGCTGGTTGGCAGGCCCCGTTCCCCCAAGACCTGTACTGTAAAGCACTGTTATGGTTGTTCAACAACACAGCACTACATAGTCTACAAACATGTCAGGTAGCTCTCCAAGAGTGGGGATACATGTGGTACTGCAGGACACACCATCGCGCGTATGCGGCGGAGGAATCAAGAGTGTCCGTTTTGCACCTGCACCTACACTATATTGCTGCTGTTACACCTTGCACCCATTGACATATTTCAAACTCAAGATGCCTGGATTATTTGACTGGATTGTCGGGATTCCGGGGAATTGAGTTTGAAATACCGCGCGGAGATTCCTGAACCATGGGTCGGGAATTTCCGGCTGGATCTTTGTTCCCGAATAAATATTCAGAGGGGTGTTTTGGCCCGATTACAAATTTATTCAGGAAGGATCTTTAGCTTTTTGTACCTCCGCCCGTGACAGAAGGGAGGGACAGCTCGCACGACGGTATCAACCGCACGGACACCGCTACCACTCGAACAGCTACCACCGTGCAAGCTTGCTAGCCAGCGCGGCTTCTACCTCGGAGGCTGTCCCACCCCTCCGTCCTCCTGCTTGAGATATATCACAGATGGTGCATCACTCCTCGTCTATGCATTCTACTACAGCACATCAGCACAGCAAAAAACACCGCAACTTGTCTTGAAAAACCCAACGGCTCCGCCCATCAGCCGCTCCCTCCAGGTGTTCGCAGCTGGCAATCTCGCTCAGACGCAAATAACGGCAGAGGACGGACACAAAACCTAGACCCGCACCCCCAGAGCTTTGACACCGCGCACACGCAAGTATTCATATGTAGGTATGCATGGCTTCATGAATCTCTCATCCGGTTATGCATCGATCCTCTGCTGTTGTCGCTCAAGAATCGGTTGTGGTGTGTTTTTTCTTTTCAAAGGCTCTTCTCCGCTTGGTGACTTCTCCGCTTGGTGACATAAGTATGCATACATCATAACCATCGACCGTGAGAGTGCCCTCCTGAAAGGTGCATGGTTAAACTGGGGCATGAGTGGCTAGGGTGTACGTGTCTGGTGTGTGTGCTTTGTGTTGGCAGCGAGCCGGGGCTGCCTGTTGATGTGTTCATCATCCTGTTCATCATGCATGCATGCGATATTTCAGCCAGCTGCCCAGCTGGAGAGAGAGGGAAAATAGCATCTCGCTGCGTGGTGTCGCTCTGCCTCTCTCTTGAAACACATCCCAACCACATACATACGTAGTCTCAACACAGGCGTGCGTATTCTTTCAACATAGTTCGCTGACAGCAGCGTAGCAGTTATGAAAGTCTCCCGTCTCTCCAAGTTGGCCTCTCTCTCCAACGTACTGTGCTGTATGCTGCTGCAGCGCAGTACTTATGTGTGGCAGCAAGGTGTGCGCACGGAGTTTCGGATTACTGTACACGTCATGTTTTGGAATATTAACCTCGGAACAGCCATATATCAAGGCCTCCCCGTTCAAAGATATGTACCCCACGAGTTTGAAATAGAACTTGGATTTCCACGGAGATTCCTGAACCATGGTTCGGGACAAAAATAGCAAAATAAATATCAAGGAACCGGGAACGCGAGTTTGAAATACGTCACATAAATAGGGCAATTTTTTTGTAAGACACGGAAGAACTTCCAACGTCGTCTGTTTTTCCCCCTGGGGACAACACACATGTGTCACCCATGCCTGTGCTCCGAGATTGGGAGGAACCCTCCGAACGATTGGAACCCCATCCCTCTAACAGATGGGGAAGATGACGTGCTCCGGCCACGCCGGAGAAGACAGTTATTCTTGGGATGAGCTATGGTTCATCCTTGGGATGAATCGTTCACAGAAGCAGCCACTGGAGGTCGCTTGGGCGTCCTCCGATGGGCACGAGAGCTAAGGTTGCCCATGGGCCAAAGGGGAGTTGCAGGGGTTTGACAGCCAATGTTAAACAGCCCGAAAATGTTGTCCATCCGGGAAAATGATCCATCATATAGAGGACGGATACCATGGCAACACAGGGTGCATGCATGTCGGTTGATCTCGACACCACCGCAGATCCCGCTGCGATGGCGAAACTGAAGGAGGACTTTCAGGCTGACACGCCTGTCAGCCCGGTCACGGCAGGAGAGCAGGGGAGCTCTCCTGCTGCAGGCACGCTCCCGGCGCCGAGGGAGACGAATGATGGTGGTGGCACACCTACTTTGTCTCTCTCCGCTGGGGGTCCATTCGGAACACCGAGTAAGAGTACCGCGGTGTCGCCTGGAGCCAGTAAGGGTACTGGTTCCGGCGGCATCCCCCGTCAGATTGCCGATGTGTCTCTCAGGAGATCGCCGCTGTGGCTGTCCCTCGGCTTTCAACCGCCGAACTCGAGGCACGTGCGTCTCGAAGAGAGACTGGAACAAGCAATTGCCTTGGCAGAGGCGGTTCCGCGTGCCAGATCGGAACGTCTGCGCAAAGCACGGGAAGAAGAGGAACGGCTGGAGGCTCAGCGATACACCGCGTTGTTGGCAGAAGCACAGCGTGAGCACACGGCATGGATGGCATCTGCCTCTGGGACGGCCCGTGATCTCGAAAAGCAGTTGTAGCACGTTTGCAAGCCGCAGAAAATTTCCCGGAACTTTCTGACGTTACCGTTGCAGTTTCTGCTGCTGCCGCCGCTGCCCCTGCTGCCGCTGTTGCAGCTCCTGTTGCAGCTCCTGTTGCAGCTGCCGCTGCTCCTGCTGCAGCGACTGCTGTAGCTGCCGCGCCACCTGTTGATGGGCACGACGCTCTCGGCAGAATCACTGAAATCCTCTCGCACAGCAGCACCATACACATCACATAGACAACATACGATACAACCAGCACAGCAGTATACGGACTGCTGTAGGCTAAGGGCAGCCAAAGGCATACATCATGGGAGGCGTTGGGTGGGACTCTTGCGGCCCGTTACCTGCTGTCGGCAGCACAAGCGAGTGACGACGCAAGTCAATCCGCGGTCCGTCTTCATCACACCCTCAACCTACC